CACACTTTCAGTTATAGACGGCAATAACTCAAAAAACGCTTACCCTAAAAAGATCTAAAGTGTGTTTCCTACAGAAAGACAAAGCTGGTTATGTTTCACAGCTGTATTTCTTTTTTTCGCTCGACATTACGAGCACTGCTCCGTTTAAGCCCTCGCAGTCTGCGTTTACTTTAGCCGGCAGAGCTCGCGCTGAGAGGAGCTCTCTGTAAGGGACCGTCGGAAAAGTGCTTTATTTTTTTATTTTTTTTTTTGTTTTTCTGCTCCGCTCAGCGCGAGCTCTCCCTGTTGCAAGGGCTTAAGTGTGTTTGTTTGTGTGTGTGCGTGTGTGTGTGTGTTTGTTTGTTTGATGCTGTCTATGTTTGTGAATGTGTTTGAATGAGAGACAGTGTGTTGCTGTGTGTCTGTGTGTTTATACAGACAGCATGTTATAGCCTCCCCCCTAAAATATAACACTATATATGGAAAGCATCGTCAATGCACCGTGATGCACCGAGATATTGAATTGAACCGAATCGATGGCATGATAATCGTAACCGAACCAAACCATGAGACCAGTATAGGTTCACACCTCTATTAAATAGGCCCAGGTACAAATACTTAGCCTTTAAATTGGCCAGCACACCAATAAAAATAAGTATTTCTTAACAAAATATATTAAAATAAATTCTAAGATATGCCGGGTATTTGGCAATAAGCTTTGTGGGATTTGTTTCACCACTTCTCTTCACAATCTGGCATTAAAGGGCACCTATGGTAAAAAAAATCTACTTTTCAAGTCGTTTTTCACAGACATGTGCGTAAGTATAGTGTATAGACCGTCATATTGGAGTGATATAAACACACCCAGTGCATTTTTTTCAATTTAAAAAATAAAAACGGTGGACCAATTGGAGCGGTTTTCAGACCGACTGCAACTTGACGTAGGAGTGCCGTCCCCCCGCCCACCAATATTGATTGACAGGCACGCGTCACCATATCCTCAGTTTGTCGTTTCACGTCCGCCATTTTCAGCGAGAGTCAAAGCGATATCCATAAAGGAACACCCTTGTTCTATTTTCAGATGTAAGGCTCATTGGGCTCAACACAAGATCAGCATTCACCACATGATCGCTCTAATCTGAATTATTGGTTGTACCTTTAGGTAGGTTTGCAAACGTTTACTTTTCATTGCGTCTACCTTAAACTTCAGCCGTTTGCATTTCTCGCATTCACAGAAGCTCCCTGCGATGTTAACTAGGTGCAGCTGGAAAGTGCGAATGCGCTGCCTCATGTGCGCGTCTCTCCATTGGAAATAAAATAACAAACTTGCCTGTAGGTCGCACACCAGAAGCGGCGCTCTGCGTGGCGCTCTGCTGATGCAGCGACATGCATTTTGGAATTCTGGGCGTGGTACAGCCGGCGAGTTGGGGCGCCGTTGTGTGTGCCCTGATGGAAACCTGTGTTTAGAGTTCTAAAATGCGTGGCGCGAAGATTCGGGACACTTCATGTTTTTGCCGCGCCACTGAGAGTGTCTGGTGTGCCGTGTCGCGGCTTAGATCGGCGCATCCGTTGCCTCAGTCAAAGTTAATTCAGTGTGCTTAGTTATTAGTCTCGGTGTACAAGCTTAGCACTTGAAACTAGCACACAGTTGGCTGTAAAACTATACAAAGACACAAATTATTTTGTACTCTCTGCTTGGTCTGTGTCCGAGTCGTACATGTACAGCTGAATGCTGGTCCTCTCACTCCTGCTCCTTCTCACAGTCTGCCTGTCTGTTGCAAACACAGAGCGGGTGAGCTCTTATCTCCGCCCCCTTGTTACGTTGGACGGGAAGTTGAAACTAATTTTCATGTGAAGCAACACACCCTGAAAACAGCGAGCTGTGTACACACCCCCAACATGACACTTTTGAACACATTATACTAAAAAATCTGAACTGCGTTTTAAACTAAATCTAAACTGGCACACTCAGAAGATCCATAATATTAATGTTAAATCTTAAAAAAAGGGGTAAACTATGTGCCCTTTAAGGTGACGGTGAAGCTGAATAATAAAATAATAATGCCAACATTAGCCTATATACTCGCGCTTTTGGACACTGTTAACATAGGGGTTCCTTTTGGCACAGTACAGTTTTCACTGGCATTTGTGGATGTATTTATGTATTGTGGTACTTGACAAAGTTTGCCAAAGTAGTCCTGAGCCCATGCGGTGACATTGCTTTTAGAAGAATGAGAATTCTTGATGCGGCTCCGCCTGAGGCACCAGAGATACCCATTGTTCAGCTTAGGCTTGCTAAGACTCCTTGAATATTTTAATGATGTTCTGCACTGTTGAAGGTGAAATACCTAAATGTATACATATAGGAAACTTTCGTTTGAGGAACTTTGTTTTTAAAAATTCAATAAGTTTCTCACATATTTGTTGGCAAAGTGGCGATCATCAGCCCATCTTTGCTCCTAAAGGACTAGACCATTCTTGGATGCTGCTTTTGTACTAAATCATTCTTTATTTTAGTCATTATTTAACCACTTCACCTGATTACTAGCCCTAAACTGCTCCTGTTCTTTTACGTTTTTTTTGTGTTGCAGGTCTAAAGTATGTATATTTACTAGCGCTGTCAAAATTAGTGTGTTAACGCATGCGATTAATTTGAAATAATTAATGAGTTTAAAAAAATTAACGCAATTAACGCAGTTGCTGGTATTTTTTACTTTCTGTTGTGGTGGACGTGTGTTCAACATGCAATAAATGTGGATAAGACCAAGGAAGCACTTTTTGAAGGCAAGTTTCAGTATAAAACAATTAGTTGCATCACAGGTTATCCAGAGTTTCATGCAATTTCGGGTGTTTCATTTTTAACTTTCGACATCAGTTGTAAGTTGATACCGCATGGCGAACAGAAAGAAAATCCTCCGCATTTCGTGACTCGGTGTTTCTTTAAGGTAATAAAATCACTGCTTAGGCTACTTGGTAGAATTTTAATAAGAGTAGTATCTTAATCATATTAAAATCGGAGTATTGGTGTCTTCTGTAAATGTACTCAGAAAGTCTCTGGTTAAGTCGCGAGCTGTCAAAGACAGGGCATTACTCTGCCTTTCAGCATGAGCTCTCCAAGTTCAGCGTGTTTCCTCATTAAACGCAACGAAAGCATATGCTTTGCGTTGTTGTGTCAGAATCCTTGTGAAATACAGTAATACTTTAGGACGTTTAGTTTAAGCAAATCTGATGAACGTGATCATGCGTGTTGAATCTGAAGGGAGTCGCTCCAGCGCGTTGTGTGTGTGTCTGTGTCAGGCCCGTTGAGGGGTGTCAGGGGTGGAGTGAGCGATGTATCTGAGTAGGGGAGTGTGCGCGCGAGACGTACCTGAAGGACGGTGGGGTTGAGTTGCGCGCGACATACCTGAAGAGCTAGGAGGGATGCGGGGGAGAGGGGTGTGCAATGTATTTAACGACCGGTTTGCGAGAGATTATCATTCATTTGCGGGCATTTGGGAGTCTCTGTGCACTTGCTGGATACTTCTAATCTTAGCAACTGGATGAATGTAAAGGAGGATTAAGCTAAATTATTTCTACTCTATAATTAATGTTCTCAACTCACAGCAATAAAACTTTACAATGAGTGCAACAGTTTGTATTCTATAGTTTATTATTATAATTTTTCATTTTCCATATCTGCAATGCATGTATTTTGGCATTTTTTTGCAGTCCACTTAGAATCCAACATGGAAATCAATGTTTTCTTTATTGGCATTGATTGTGTTGAAATTTAAATGTCATTAACATGCCTGTGTTTTAATTTCTGTAATAAATATGGCTGTCAAGCAGGATCTTGATGGTTTATTGTGGGTATGTTGTTTACATGAAGAAATCTGTGTTACAAGTTAAACAAAAATTCTAATAACAGTTATATTTATAATTATAATTATAATAAACAATTATATTTTGAATTTAAATAGTTTGTGTCTTGCGTTTACAAAAATTTTACATTTGAATAGCCAAAATTATAAGTTTCAGTATTTTAAATGTGATTAATCGCGATTAATTTTTTAAAAAAGGTGCGATTAATTAGTTAAATCTTTTTTTATCGATTGACAGCATTAATATTTACAAATGAAATGACGTTTACCAGACAGAACAAGAAATATTTTGTGTTCATATTGTCTGGAATGAAATACAAGTCAGAAGTAAATTTGGAAATCACTACTTTCTTTTTTATTTGCATTTTTCATACTTTACCAACTTCTGATTCGGGGTTGTAAATTGCAACATTTTTCTTGCTTTACGTTTTCAAACTAACAAAAAAAGAGCCAATGATTGTATTCATTGTTAGACCCCATACCAATGTTTTAACTTCAGAAGAGTTATAAAGTCGAGGGGACAAAATATTTTCACAACAAATAAAAAAATGTGTTGATATTATGACACTTAAATAAAAAAACTCTCAAAATAAATGTGTGTTAAATCCAGCCTGATCTCACAAGAAAACGTAAATATTTTACGTTTTGACAATGGCTAATTCATAGGAATTCGTACAAGGTCAGTCGTCCGAAATTGTACGATTTTAAAAAGGAGGCGTGGCTCCTAACCCCACCCCTAAACCCAACCGTCATTGGGGGATGAGCAAATCGTAGTAAATTGTTTGAATTAGATCATAGGAATTCATACGAATTAGCCACTAAATCAAAAAGCTGCGAATTGCCGTGAGATTGTGTTGGTTAAATCTAGTACAAACAGCTCTTTTTACAGTGTTTCAGTCACAGACTTCAGAGATCTCCGCACTCATGTTTATTGATTTATTAAGCTGGTCCAGCTCTTTCTGTGAGGCAGCAGACATCAATAATAAGAGTCTGGACACGTACTGCTCACAGGCTCAACTGGTTCCTCGGATTATGGAGGTTTTGTTAACAAAGTCGTACACCGATGTGCCATAAAACGTGCCTGTGATTTTGGGATTGTACATTTCAAACACTGATCCAGCTTCAGTAATGCCCGAGTGTGTGTGTTTAAAGCCGAAAAACCTTGTGAATGTGCAGCGTCTTCTCCTTTCCACTCGGGGTTTTCATCCACCGCAGGCTGGAGACTCGCAGAGCTTGTGATGTTCACTTCAGCTTGAAGTTTTCCCCTCTTTCTCAGCACTTCAGGTTATGGCGAAGAAACACTCCCTCGACACCGTCTGTTTAAAACACACACAAAGAAAAGGACAGCATCTGTGTTAGAGAGATCTACTGCTAAACCTCTGCAAAACTGAAGATGTCCGCAAGTCTAACATATTAACATCTCATTTTACCCAGCAGGCACCTCAAAACGACATTGTAACATCCAGGTTTTTGCATATTTCAGTTCAGTGTTTTCACGTTACTTTCGATCACCTTAGTTTACCCTTATTATCTTGTTAATCTTTGAGTTAATTGTCTCCACCCCATTGTCAGTTTGTTTAGTCAATTGTTTCCTTGTGTGTTTATACCCTGTTCTGTAAGCCCCTCTTGGTCATTAGTTTTTCGTTACTCCCATGATGTCCGAGTGTTTCATTCGGTGTTTTGTTTTAGTTTGGTG